AACTATTTTTGATGGCTGACATTATCTATTTACTGTACATAAAATTCATACAGTGCTGCAATGTACTCAATAACATGGAAGCATACAGTTCTCTAAGAGGTGACTTTTGCAGCTCGAAATGCAAAAGTCATTATATATAATCTATACTGTATATCACAAAATATAAATTAGTGTACAGGTATACTGATCAAGGTAATGCATTGTGCAAATAACAAGAAGGTAGGCTGATAGAAGGTAATAGGTTGCATAGTACAACCCCATCCTGACATTTTTTGTGCTTTCTTTCAAAAAAGTTTTGTGTGTTTAATAATTGCACAAACATCTCCAAACTTATTTAATATACTATGTATTTTCTTCACATTTCATACTCATTTTTACAACTTATGAAGTATTTCCTTATAAAATCTCCCATTCTTCCTTCAGTTATGTACTGTCTGAAATATTGAAAGCTCAGAAAGGCTTGGGTGCAGGAATGCAACCCAAAATGATGATTGAAAGAGCTGTACATTAGACGGCATCGAGTCAACCCGCTCTAGGTTTGGGTGTGATATGAACCATTAGCCACTTGTAGTGTCATCTGTATGAGGCAATGTTACTAATTGTGCTAAGGTTCAAGTTGGGTGTGTCTTGTGCTGAAGGGTTACTGTATAATTTTTGTAGTGAAAGGAAAACTGTACTGTACAGTATATATCAAATATAAATAATAATATTGTTACAGTAATACTTATCACAGTTGTGAAAAATAAACAATGTAATACAGTACTAATGTACAATCTTAATACTTTTGTAAAGCTTTTCTCGAACAAAATTTTTTTTCACAGATGACACTACATTTGTATGACAGTTCACTGTCTATTCACCCTGTGTGCAGAAAGTAATAATTAAAAAAATTACAATATTTATGCAGACATAATATAACCATAGAATCCTACATAACTATTAACAGAAAATAAGTGACAGGAACTGATTCATCACAGTATAAGAGAAACTGTGCCAGTAACTGTTGTATGGTATCATATGAGGACCTTCATGACACTACACTGAGTAAACTTACCTTTGTTCCAGTCATTAAGAAAACAATCCACTTCTGCAAAAATGCAATCACATTATCATCAACATTGTATGGCTATATTCCATGCCTACATGAGTTAGCTGTGATTACAACACCAGATAAAGGGTGTCCCCCCCCCCCCTTGCTAATGAAAGCAAACCCAGGGCACCAACCTAGAAAATGTAGCAGAGACCAGGGGATGGGCACAGCTCTGGTGACCTGGTTGCCATCAGGCAAGTTGAATCAAAGTTTTCCAGCTGGGCGCCCTATATAATGCCAACCCACAGGGTGGTAACAGCTGGCACAAAATATTTGTTCTTTTATTTACTTAGATAGCCTACATGTATTAGGACATTTATGATAGCACTGTACAGAACTAAATGAAGATATAACACATTACCATAATACTATGTACATTACTATCAACCTATGAAACTAACCATATTCCTTTATCAATTACTTAAGGCAATGGTTTTGTGTTAAGAATTTGACAATACTGTATAATTTTAAGTACTAAATTACATATTTAAAACAAACACTGTTCAGAGTAAAGGTCCTGAAGGTGGTCCCAAACAATGCCATACACCCTCCAAGCACAGTTTCCATCTATAACACTACAGTATAAATTTCTATGTACAAATTTGGGCAATACAACACAATATCAATTGGCACAGATTTCCAGTGCCTGTTAATTTACTATTTATCACAATGTCCCTGAAGACAGCATAGTTGAAAAAACACACCTAAAAAAACTCTGAAGTGCAGTGAGCTTAGAGTTTGACGGATGACTGTTGGACGTTGTTTAAATAATAAATAGGAACTAAATTAGGCAGCTGAGTCTCATAAAGACTTAGCTGCCTAAGGATGGTTTGAATGTGTTAAGTGTTTCTGGCAGTTACTGTAAGAAGAACTGGGCATGCAGTTTTCCCACATAGCAATGAGGGAATTTTCTTGCAGATGTTTCCATGTACAAAATGGACTGGGCAAAACTATCTTGAGCCATTGTTGCAAATAAAAGTTGTTACAGCTCGTCAAGTAGAATAGTGGTGCCAAGTCACCTTGTATAAATATTTTGTTATATCTTAATACTGTACTCTATCATAATCATAAGTAATTACTAAAATATATTATTTACAATTTGAGTATGAGGGTTTAATTTCTGGGTTATAGGTAGAGTTGTGCTATGATTAACAAGCAGTCATGTGGGAAGAGCCAGTTATTTTCACACCTTGCAGGAGGTACTGTACTAACTGCTCATACCTCTGAAGGTCATTACTGTACCACTCCTAATCATCATAGATGGATCTTTTAAATTTTTGCTTACAATTGCAAGTTTAGTTAGAGATCTTGGCACTTTCATAACTCATATAAAGTACTCCTCTGTTGAAATTCTGAAACCATTCAACTGATAAGAACATTATCGGAGGTTTCAAACTATCAAGTAAACAAGTAAATGTACAGTATTCAGTATTATTTCCCAATAAACTGGAAGTAATTATGTAACCAAATTAAAATTTCAGCAACTCTGCAATCATTTTCATAAAACACTAGTCAAATAATAATAAACTTAAGAATATGATCAAAGAAAATACCTTGAGTAATGTTTAGTTCAAATTTTGCTAAACATTCCCTAATTTCCATTCTTACCATTTGTACTAATTAAAAGGACAATATAAATAATGATACACTATAATGGAAAATATTTGAATAAACACTATTCAATTCCTTTGAGTTTCCTAGTGTAAGGAAAACTCATGAAATTACAATTATGCTTATAAAACTCTAAATCCTGTATTTCATTGTAAATATATATATATATACAGTCAGTCCTCGACTTACGACGACGGGGTTAGGGACTGACGACCAGGTCATAAGTCGAATTGGTCGTAAGTTGAAAAAGCAAAAATAATACATAGAAAATCTAAACTGGGTGTTTCTTTTTCTTCTCAGCACCACGAGAACTCTCACTTTACACTTGCCAGACATTTTAAAGGGTATTACAAACGAAAATTTTGTCAGTACACAGCGTGATCACTAACGTTGACTGCGGCGGTCATATGTCCGGGTGGTCGTAAGTCGAGGAGTACCTGTGTGCATGTATATGTGTATATATATATATATATATATATATATATATATATATATATATATATATATATATATATATATATATATATATATATATATATATATATATTATTATTGGTCATTTACGCTGTGCCTTGCCAGAATGAAAATGCTTTAATTACGCGGTAAATTTGGTCATTTCCACGGCGAGCGGCTGGAGAGGTCCAGACTGCCGCGCCATTTTTTACCCACGCGGTCCATTCTTGACCATACGCGGGAAGCGGCGCAGTGAGTGGTGTGCATTAGGCCGCTCTTACGTTATCGCTGACGTCATATGAAGTATCGGACTGTGATTGGGCCACGCATCCGTACCACCCACGCATTCCGTCCGCCACTAGCTGTAATTGGTCTAATGTAACATGACGTACCCTGCCACCAGAGGGTAGAAGTCGCTGACCAAGCAGGGCCTGTCTCATTGTTCTCAGTCCGCGTATACAGTTCTCTCTTGTGCCCGGTATTCCCCTCACAACTCACAATGGCTTCCGCGGGACACCCACCACCAGAGAAAAACGTTGAATTACTTGGGCCAAGCCATGATAATGTGAAGGAAATCATCGAGTTGGGGGAGAAACTTAAGCTCGTCCTTGACAACGACCCAGACAAGCATCGGTATGATGTGTCTAATAACCACCTGACGAAAGTTATGGAGCCGTATATCCAGATCTATCTCGACAACATCAATGCTAGTCGTCAACGTAGTATTGAGGACTTCCTCGCCCGCAACCCACCACAACCACAGCCAGCCCAAGTCAGTGATAGTGATATTGACAGTGAGGATATGGACTTTGGGAGGTTTGTCTGGGAGGCCCTGCAAACCTCTGCGAGTAGTGAAAATGAAAGTGATTCACCGGAGGGCAACTAATCTGCCTCGGAACCAGCCGCCATCCACGTGTGCCGACCCAGCTTTTCTACTAACGTAAGTGTTAAAAAACCTAATATTATTGATATTTCTCTTAATTATTAATTGTGTGTGCATACCATCATAAAATTAAGATGTTATTTTTACAACGTACGTATTGTTTCGGAAAAAGTGGACTTTGGGGGTCGGCCCAGTCTCTATTTCAATTAATCCCATATGTTCTGTAATTTCATTTACGGGTTTCTCGTTTTATGCGGGCCTCCACGGGTTCAATTGACCGCGTAAATGCAGACTACAGTATACTGTGTGTGTATATATATATACATATATATTAAAACCTCGATTAACCGACCACATATGGGGGGAAGGGGCCGACGGATAATCCAAAAGGTCGGTTAATACGTAGTACATAAAGTCTACGGACATAAAACATACATTTTCAAAGTACCTTTCCCTAACCTACCTCATTTAAGTCCCTCTATTCATTTTTGTTCATTTGCCATTCGTATATCATTAGACTTTGCCTTAAAACATTAACCACTTTAGTAAATAAATATGAACCAGCACAGAAACCGTGAATAAAAAATGGAAAAGTCAAAGGACATATGTCATCACAAAAATTGTGACCAAGTCCCAGGTTGCTGATCTGACTTTCTGCCTCATTTACACACAATTGCAGGTCTCAATTGTTTCTCTTACTATTGACAACCAACATACATACAGGTACATTGTTTCTCACTCTTGATTTTTTGTTCATTTTTGCATTTCTTTATGGTTCTTTATTACTATTATTATTATTATCATTATTAATATTATTACATTATCGCCCCCCAGGCCCCGATGTTGGTCAGTGACCTATGCCCGGGTGGGATAATCCCAAATTAAAAAAAAATAAATAAAAAAAAATAGGGGTCGGGGTTGACGGTTAATCCGAAAGTCAGTTAATCGAGGTTTTACTCTGTGTGTGTATGTGTATATATATAGGCATGTGCACACATGCACGCATGCATGCACACACACACACACACACATTGTGTAACAAACTCTGCTTTACAGGTAGAATATGAGAATTAACAAACTTTATCTTTTCTTCTTTTTTTTTTTTTTACTAGTTTGTGTTTGACAACAATATACTGTACATAATTTTCTTATACCAAACATTTTGTTTTTCATCAACTGATGATTTATATTCTATGATCAGAGAACAGAAAATAAAAACACTGAAACTAATAATTTCATTAATTGAAAATAATTTTGCATAGTATGACCAAAAGACAATTTTATTTGTAGTACCAAAATTTGGAAGTTGAAATATTATGCTTCATCAATGGGTTCTTGTTTTCTAGAAAATATTTGGAAAAATGATTGTTTGGACTGTTCTTGAGAATTCGATCGATGAAATTCTCTCCTCCCAGATGGCCCAGGTCTGGTGGGGAAAAGATTACTAGATGAGACAGTTCTACGTTTGAACTTATCTTGAGCAAGTGTTTGATGGTCTTTCCCAACAGCTGGGCTGGGCTTCCTAGACAGAAGATCCCCAAAAAATGGTTTGGAGGTTTTTTTCTTAATATCATGTTTTTCTTGGTTGCTAGTAATTCCAGCTTGATTGACCTGTTGATCGCTTGATGACAAGGATTTAGTGGAGTCCTCAGAAATAGAACCTTGAGATCCAATGTCCCCAAACGGGACACATTTTTTACTAGCAAGATCATATGATGAGAGGGTTCTGTGCCTATGAGCATCTTGTGGCTGTGTACTATCTTGCTGATCATATGATGAAGAAGTTCTTGACATGTGCAAGTCATCTGATGAGAAGGATCGGGCAAGGGGAGCATTTCGTCCACACAGCAGAGTACTGTCTGAGGCAGATGCTCGAAGACATGATGCATCCTATCAAGAGGAGCAAATGATAAAAAATATTAAAGATCATATACATACAACAGTATAAGTACAGTGGTGACATGACTGCATCCTCCAGTTAATTGGCATACTGGCTTATTTCCATATTCTCACATAGTGTATACAGCACTGTTATATAGAACTTGTGTATTGCTTCACTTACTTCTGTAAATTAACTCTTAAGTACTTGATTCTCTACATGAAGTACTTTGTATTTCCGTGCTATTTCTCTATCTCACTGATAATGATTTTCCTGTTAGAACATCATCACTGCCTATCTTATACTGTAGAAGGGTAAGTGGGTGATTTAATGGAAGTTTTATACCGTACAGTAAACACCTCAATGGAATTTATCTACAGCTAGCAGATAGCTTCAAGTACAGAAAATGTCAGAGCATAGTTCTTTGGATTGGAGTAGTGAACTTTTGAAATAACCTGCCACTGAGTGTTTGAGATCATTTAAGGTCAGTGTTGACTGACAGTGGCACATGTTCATGTACAGTCGGGGATAAAAGTTCTCTCCATGTGATGAAACTGAGTCACGGGAATGAGTCTCCGAACTGACTTACACCTGACTGCTGTATCTCGTTTGGGGTCAATGCTGCTTCATTTTGGGCTGGAGTAAACATTTGACCCCAACTGTACATTCATGCCCATTACTGTGCTTGCCAATACTGCATAAAAGAGAACTGACAGGCTGTCTAAATTGCTAATGAGCTGATCAAGGGTGAAGAGGATAAAGTAAAATTAAAGTAAAGTAGAATAACTCACCCCAATAAAACCCTTAGATAAAAAGGAAGGGAAGGTGAGGGGGTGGACTAAGCTGTCAGCAGTTACATACTGAATAACCTACTTCAATAATTATTGCAGCATGAATACTGGTTACTCCAGATATCAACTAAATGTATTGATTATTAGAGGATTCATATGGACAATACTAATATTGGTGAGTGTGCATGGGCTAGTGTACAAGGAGAGAACCAGATCCTCTATTCACTCACCATTTTGCCATGCATTGACATAAAGCCAGGATAATCTGAAGCACTCTTCTTTACTCTCGGGTCTAGCTCGTTGATGGGATCTCGTGTTCGAATTCCTAACAATCGAAGAATGGTGCCCATTTTTTTGGCATAGTCCATGTGACCTGATAGAAAAAATTAATAAAGTAGTAAAATTTCCCATGTTATTTACAAAACATGGCCCAGTAGTTACAATAGAAAATGTAGTTGTGCCACTCTGAGTCTTTAGGTGATATACATAAATACCCTGTATACACAATAAAAAGGAAACTTCAATACAATTCAAGGAGGAAAGCATTGGAAGGCTTGTAATCTGAAAATCTACTACACTCAAAATAGCTGGATGAAATATATACTCCTACATAGGCACTGGCAACTCTAGAGGCAAAAGTTGAAGCACTACAGTTATATATTTTTAAATGTCGGAAAAATTCCTACATGGTACTCGGTGGCCAGAATCAACAGCATCACAAATTCTCCCATCATTCACTGCTATTTATTTCCTTTTACTGTCACAGATGTGCTTTGCTTTTATAATCCTTCAACACAACCCCAAAATTTTCATCTGATATACTTGTGTCACCTAACATCAAATGTCAGTAACACATTCATCTCCTCATATCACGTGGCATTTATGCTCTCTGATCATACATGAGTATTGTTTCATCCTTGACATCTTTCCTAACCCCATCTTTCCACCTATTTCTTGGTCTTCTCCTACCATCCACTTAAACATTAAACACTTTATTTTATTTTATTTTCATTGCCCTAAAATCACTGGACAAATAAATTGTTTCCTTACCAGTGACAATATCAGACAAATCAAAGTTAAACATTCTTCGATCTTGCCAATCAATTGGGATCAGTCCTGCAATACGTATAGTTCCTGATGATGAGCGGTAGAGGAAGCGTAGAAGCCAATCTCCCTGACAGTATCCATTGATGATTCGTCCCGACACAATATTTCCTGTAAATGATGGCCTGGCATAAGCTTATCATAAATTGAAGGAAGTTAAACATTGTACAGGTGTAGAGTAAAATCCCAGTTTCTCAGAATTTGCTTCCGTGGAATTCAGATTTTGAATAAGGCGTCACATGACTTCAACTGTAATGATGCCAGTGTACAGTACTAACAATTTATATTTTTAATAAAATGTGTGTGTACACTCCAAGTACTGTAATATATTAAGGACTCTAGGGCCTGTTTAAGTAAAATACTGTCCAAAATTTTCACATTCCTGGAAATGAAGGTTTTACTGAGGACAGTTTGATTTTTCTTTAATTAATCTACTTAATATTGTTTGCCTTCGTCTGAACAGTATGGTAATACAATTTTACATATCGCTTCTTTTGTGAAAATTTTTGCTTGGTTTTATTATACTGTTCCAAATTGACATACCCTTGCTATTCACGGATTTGCAATTTCGACTGTTCGTGGTAAACAGATGGCAGCTACTTACGACCCTCTCCCACAGCGCAACGAGTCACCCCCATGTGCCCGCAGCGTCTCCTCTCCCTCTTCTCCCTTTGTTTGCACTCAACCATTGCCTGCGATGCAGCATCTCTTGTGTTGTACTCAAAACTTTATTGTTTCTGTTTTAAATGGCCCCAACTGCCTATTGTCAGTGTTAGTGATGCTAGTGGAGTGAAACGTTCAGAAATCTCAAAGCCAAGATAAAACAACTACCAAATACTATGTTTTTCAAGAAAGAACCAGCAACTCCCCCACCTGATTCGTCTCCCTCACCTACTCGGTCAGCTGCAGCCGCTCCACAAACCACCACTGCATTACCCTCTTCCTCCAACAGTTATCCCGATGATCTCCCTACGCTTCAGTAACCAGATTTCATCCTATTGTACAGTACACTTCATCAAGCTCCAAACTTCCACATATGAAGGAAAGTAGTATTGGTAACTTACGTTTCTCATACACAGTACAGTATGGGTATACAGTAGTGCACTAAGGTAGTATATGTTACTATTCGCGGTTTTGCCAATTCGTGCCATTCCTTGAAACCTAACCCTCGCAAATAGCAAGGGTTTACAGTATAGAAAATTTACCCCCCCCCCCAAAAAAAAGTATCTTTAATAGAATATTATAGTGGATTTATTTGAAGATGCATTACAATATGAATTTCATAGACATAAAAATCAGCGTAAAGGGCCCTGAATATGTATTGTACTATGACGGTAGGAAAGTTCTTCTCTAACAAGGTTATATCTGGTTCATGCTACAATAAATAATGCATACGTACAACTATTGTTTCAGCTAGCCTTACATAAGATATCTGTACAATTAATAGAATTCCTGTGCAACAATCTAGAGAGGAAAAATATTCAGTGGATGTTACTTAAAAATAAAATCAATGACTAAAATCTAAGCCGTGATGCATTGCTATTATTGTACAGTATAAGAACTGTAAGTGTATATACTTCATCATCTTGCCTATCAGATGATTTCACATTCTAATAAAATAACAATCTTCACTTACTAAATTTCTGCCATTCTTTGGGATTTCCAGGCACTGGAGCACCAAGGAGTATGGCATCTTGAATTATACCTGCAGTACCTTTACGACGGCTAAGCTCCTGGCAAGAGGAGAAATGGATTTGGTGAGTTAAAACATTTTATTTGTGTTAATACAAAATTACAGATGATTCTGACATCTCTTTGCTGTATTAATATGTAAAAACTGTATGAAAATTTGCTCCTATTTAAAAACTGTAAAACTATCAAATTGAAACTAGGTAAAATGTAACAGAGGTTTAGGCTGAAACAAGGTAAGGGTCAACAATTGCAAATATCAAGAAAGTGCTACACCAATTGACACATTCACTACACCAGAACTACCTCAATGACTTTATGAATTCACTATCCAATTTCAGTCATTCTACAAACAAAAACCCAAATATCAACACACATTGTTTCAGAGACGAGTTACGACATGCTCACATGACTGTACAGCCTACAACTTGTTCAAGGCATATCAGTATTTTTTGTGTGGCTTCACTGCATGAAATGTAAACCAGCATACTTAATATCAACCTTAACATGCAATCCATTGAAATAAAATGGAGGGCATAACTTTATTCAGTAATTTATAAATAAAGTACTGTACTACAGTAGTGTATTAGTAAAGGAAATTAAAGGTGTATATTAGGGTATGGAGGATGAGAAAATAAAATTTAAGATAATATACCCCTATTAACCCTTTCAGACCTACTCATGTACCTGATACACCTGAGACCAGAGTCCTATACAGAACACACAAGAGATACAGGATGATGTTAAAAGGGCGGAATGGAGGATGGGTCCGGACCCACCCCTTTCACCAGAAAATTCCAATACTTTTTTCTTTTATGCAGTATTGTACTCAGGCATTTTTGTATAGTAAAAAGTATTTACTATTGACTTCAGAATATCTCCTAATATCAAGTGCACATGGCTTCAAAATATCCTCAAAACGCCCATGATATTGGACAGATTTAAAAAAAATTATGGGGAGGCTTACAGAGCCCCTCCAAAAAAAAAAAACCCAGCTGGGTGGGCTCACTGTACTCGCCATGGTCCACCATCCACAACTTCTTGGACCACCCCCCCATTTGATATTCCTGGATTCACCCCTGGTTTATTGCCCTGTTTCAAATATCTTGGAGTAGCCATGAACTGTGTATCACCAGCAGTAGTAATTCACCCTCAGAAATTTCACAGCTGCTCAGTTACCATACTAACATAAGAGTGAAAGGACATTTATCATAATACAAATCTGGCAGCCACAAGTTAAACTCATGTGTCTGATAGACACAGGCGTAAATACAAATTTAAATGTGCAGCTACATGGGAAGAAATAGATGCAAGTTTGATAGAGGAATATGATGATGAAGATGAAGAGTTTCGCTACAGTCTATAAAACTGAGAAATCAACAAGACATATTGGCCCAAACAAATGTGTATACTGTATTGTCATTCTTCAGGTATACCCTGTACACCAAATCCTTCATAGAGGCATATGAGAAGAAACCTCTAGAGCCTAAAACATGTCATCAACATTCTCATATGAGAAAGTTAACTTAGGTTAAAAAAATTCTGTCTCTGAAATGTGTAGATACTGCATTAAGTATTTCAATAAGTTTTTCCCATTACCTTAATTTTAACCTTGAACTGTATTACAATATGGTACTGCTCCTTTAGCTATGATAATAACTTACCTGAAGACAGTAATAGATTACTCGTGCTCCAAGTGAAAATCCTATGAGTGTCACTGGTCTCTTGCCATGTTGTCGCTGATAAAGCACCTCGGCCAGCTGCTTACCCACCTCAGCTGATCTTCGGCAACACACACCCCAGGGGTTGTCAATCACAGATGCCAGGGTAAGAAGTGATGTTGGCCATGTGATTGCAGAGATGATACCTGTTAAAAGAAGGTTAATAATAATATTTAGTAGCTCAGTGAGGTGTGTCATAGATCAACTGGTATAATTCTGGACTCCAAGTTTATTTTATGTGACATTGATCTCATGGAGGGGAAGGTGTGGAGGGCAAGACTTCATATGGTGGCAAGTGAGCCAATTACAGAATTCCATTACGTTTGAGCACTATACTACAGTAAGGTAACCCTTCTGGTCTGGGGGTTGCCATGGTACGATAATGTGGGAGATCTGGTGAAAGATGCTTGATAGCTTATAAATGAGCAACCATGGAGTAAGTCAAGTTCACAACTCAAGGTCAAAAGGTTATAACATTTTACTGGTGTTTCAGGTTCCTCTGCCACACATTTGCTGTTAAATGTTAGTGTACAAAATGCTCTTGCAGTCTCTCTACAAATCTTAGCTTGTCACTCTAGCTTTCCCTGGTTTCATCCTAGAGGTCTATTTTATTTCTTGATAAGTAAAATTGAGCATAACCAGCATGCATGATCAATATTTATTTATAGCTTCTGGTATCAATCTGTTCAGATATGTATTTGCCCCTCTATCATGGCTTGGACTACAAGATGCATCAAATAAAAAAAATTCCTTCTATTTATTTCTTTCTTACTGTATTTATCATTTCCTCCACTGGTCAACTTACATTACACTCGGGCTGTCGGTCTGTTTTTCTTTGTTATTTACCGTCATTCTTCAGTGTTCATACAGGAGGAAACCAGTTTACAGTATTTGGAGAAAACCTGGGATGCTTGGTATGGTCGAACTAGAAAACACCCTTCTTGGATCTGACTCGGGGATTAGAACCTGTGAACGCTGTACCACCACCTTTAATTTAGAATATAAGCAGTGAAAAGCAACTTAGTTTCTTGGTTTACTTGCCTAACATTAGAGACTCTTGGTACAGTACAGTACAATATGTCACCATGCATAATCTGTTTTATTATTGCTATATCCTTCAATACTTATTTCTGTGTCTCAGTTATTTTCTTTCAGTCTTGGGCTTCACTTCTCTAATACCTATAAGATCTGACAAGGTCATTGAATATAGAATCTGGAATTTCATTTGAGTCAATTTGTTAGATAAAACATCTGCAATTGTTTATCAGTAACTGAAATAGCATTGTGATACAGCAATATCTGTTTCTGTCACATGTACTTCAATATGAGGTGTTGCAGTATTTGACCAAGCATATGTCCCACAGAAAAGTAAGCATGGAATGTGGGTATTTAACATCAAAACTAAACATGGTACAGTACTTGGATATTTAAACAAATTCTTGTATCATTATCTGTCCAGTTTGTCTTCTTATTTCCATCAGTTGGCAGTCTTGTATACCCCAACATTTTGTGTTTTTTTCCCTTCTATTCTTCTTCTATAGCATCAGTACTGTACCTTTATCCTTCACAGTCCATTGGTATCCTCTCAAATAATTTGTTCACCTGAAACATCACAGAAAAAGGTAATATTAAAATACATACTTTGAATTACTAACACAACCATAAGGTACACACCTGCTAGGATGGTATATTTGAGTGTCTCCTGAACAGCCATGGAAAGTGCAAACTGGAGGAGGTAGTCCATGGCCTGTCCAAGTTCCAGCAGGTACTGGGACTCATATCGTAAACAGTACTGAAACAATAAACCAAGTTAGAGAAACTGTCAAGCAGTGCTTAAGTAAGGCAATGCTTTATTGGTATTTCATGGAAACTGATTCTAATGGTATAAACATGTGTGTAGCAGGTATTATTTTGGGGAAGCTAATAGGTAAGCCAATCAGTGACAAAGAGGGTAAAATAAACTCTTAAGTGCCTAGAGGGCTTTTAATAAGTTTAAAAATGCATGAAGTAAAATGGTATGTGGAGCACTAAATGTTCATCAAATCTGTGAATGAGAAAACTACAAATTGCAAAAGGTTTCTTAAAGGACATTTTATTCTTAAGCACTTGAGTAGTAAGCACTGTACATACTACTTGGTTTATACGTATACTTAAAATATTTTGTACATAATAATGGATTGTTACTCTTATATTCCCATCTTAATCCAAAGAAACTAACAGGATGCATGGCTTCTATGGATATCTATCTACAATACAAAATGAAGTTATACAGCAGAAGCCTTTTGCCCCAATAAACTGGAGGAATTGTCTGCTTTATAGAGTGAACATGAGTACAATACAGTACCAAAGTAAGTCAAAATTCTTTGAACTAATTCCCAGAAACTGAAACAACCTGCTCATTCACACAGACAAGATCACTTAATACCACCAGTTGGGTGCAAAATACAAACACATGTCTTATATGTTTACTGAAAGTCATCGATAATCAACTTCTGAGATAATAAACCAATTTGATTTTCTAGTAAAGCTGATGACGTACTGTACAGTATGTATAAGAGCCTTTTATGTTCCTCCAAAATTTAAAGCCAGATAAAACAAATATTGTAACTCAACACAAAACATCTTACTTACATACTAGTTATTTTCAGTCTTACCTGCTCTCGGGAATGGTATAAAATCTTCCAAGGTTTACTGAATTCCTCTGTTCCTTCTTTTGTAAGCCAACCAGAAATAGCAATAGTAATATGTAGGTGACTTCCATCAGTCAGGTAATCGAAGGCAAATTCTTCTATGTCTCCAATGCGCTTTTGCATTTTAAATCCTGAATTTAAAGAAGAGAATTTTTTTCATAATTATTTAGAATTGCACATGGCATAAAATTATTATTATTTTTTTTTGCATTTTCCATTTCACTACCCATGCTGCCCATACAGTATAACATACATTAAACAAACACATGTACTGATATAAACACATGCAAGATACTGTAGTATGTGAACTGAAATTACAAGATTCATTAAATTCTGTGGTACTGTGCAACATAAAACTAAAAAAACTTCTTGTAAAGTGTCAAAAATTAAATAGTGATACAATATCCCAATTTAGGACCCACCAATTATAGTGATGATAAGAAAATGGGGAAAATGTGTGGACATGGTGTGTAAAATTGAGATGTGAGAGAAGTCAATGAGATGGAGGAGAGGGTGGTGAGACACGGGAGGTGGGTTGTGGTGAGGTCATAAACTAAGGGGTTATGGTGGTGAGGTTATAAACTAAGGGGGGAGGTTATGGTGGTGAGGTTATAAACTAAGGGGGCTGTGGTGGTGAGATCATAAACTAAGGGGAGGTTATGGTGGTGAGGGGGGGGGCTGTGGTGGTGAGATCATAAACTAAGGGGGGGCTGTGGTGGTGAGATCATAAACTAAGGGGGGGCTGTGGTGGTGAGATCATAAACTAAGGGGGGCTGTGGTGGTGAGATCATAAACTAAGGGGGGAGGCTATGGTGGTGAGATCATAAACTAAGGGGAGAGGTTAAGGTGGTGAGGTTACAAACTAAGGGAATGAGGTGGTGGCAAAGTAACCTCAGGGCAAGAAGAAGGAAGGAGAGAGCAAAAGTTAAACACAATTTAATTATCAACTGAATTAGCAAGCAGGGGAGTGAAATTGGTACCAGGTATGTATTCACTGTTACTTTCACCGAGTCACTGTTTTGATCAGTTCATTAAAATGGAAGGGGAGCACTTTGAAGAATCGATAATAAACTATAATGCTGAATTTTTTCTTATTTCTACACCTTAGGTCCCATCACTTGAAGAACAAAGCCTGGGACTTGAAATGTTAATATAAATCTATAAATACATGTACAATAAAGGTATGTTTTATTTTTTCAACAAGCCTTTTCTTGATAACATAGAGGATGGCTTGATAGGAGCTGATCCCCTGATTCTTAGCACTCATGTTATAGCCTAATGTGCAGGGGCTAGAGAACAAGGAGAAAACCCCACCCCTACACTACTAAGTTTAATAACAATGTTTCAGTCAAGTTCCAGAAGATAAAAGGTTTTAATTTACTGTGTATCTTATGGTTGGTTAAACAACTTTACAATATCAAGTTTTATTTATGGTCGAAATATGGGATTTAACTGCAAAACTAACCTGTAAGGCCTGCACCTGCTGCACCAAACATGGATCCTACCACAGCCACGCCTGCAGTTGAAGACAGAGCTGCCATTCCACCTGAAATTATTTGATTATCGTTCAATAAGATATACAATACCCTGTACTGTACTGTACTCCAGTTCGGTTATACAGCATCTCCCCAAGTGCTGTAAATGTTGTTGTATATCACATAGGAAGTGTAATAATATACGGTACAGTACTTCAAAAACTATGAATTAATAAGTTAAAGCCAGACAACATGAGCTGAGCTGCCATGCACAGGCCAACCGGTCTATTGTAGACTCCTTATTTTCTGATGTTCTTATATAAAAAAAGAAATATATAGCATTGATGCTTGTGACTAAAGATAAAGATTTTGATTAAAACACAAAAGATCTTGTATGAAGCCTAAACAAGGCCAATGTTGAATTTATGAGTTGAATCCCCAATACCAAACCAAACAACAGGTTGTTAACTTTATACTGTAAGTAAGAAGATAAATTTTGAGTGTTTGGTCACCCCAATAGTCAAAAACTTTGTGTAATAAAACTGTAGCACTAAATTAAATGGAGGGAGAGCCTGCAATGAAGGAATAACAATTTATCTGTCAGTATCTGTCAGTAAAGAAAGTGAATGGTGCCTGGGTTGAAGCTAAAAGGTTCCACTGTTATATTTGTATTCTCTGAAATACTGTACAGTATAAGTAAAAGCTGTGTTGAACAATCAACAGTTGATGGGAAAAGCCATCAGTGTCCACTATCAAATAGTTCGTCATTCGTATAAAAGTAAACATACACCTGAATATGGCGGGTCTCACTTGACCAGGATATTTTGTTTCATGATAAAAATTATGGATCTGTTTGGAATAATAAACATACAGTCAGTAGACATTAAACACCCAACACGTACACCAGAAAGTGGGTTGTGTAAACTGTTCATAATTCCTAGAATAGCTGCCTCTTTTAGCAACCAGTCTAATTAAGTTAAGTGCTACTCATTTACATCTCTAAATTACTATTTACAGCATTATATAGCTGAAAAAACTATTCCATGTCGACAAAAAATGAATTATGTCTTTAAAAAAATGTACTGTACTGTACTATACATCTTTCATGAGTCCTGCACATTATACAGTATAGTACTGGAATTATCTTCCTTTAAAAAATTATATAATAACTTATAGAAGAGCCCAAAGTCTCACCTGCCCCAATAAAGCTTGAAAGACCAGCACCAATAAACGGGGCTGCCAGTCCGCCTGTGAGGCCCAGGACAGCTCCTCCACCAAGGGTGGCTAAACCTATGGCTGTGTAGCGCTTGATCTTCTTGTAGCGGTCACGTTTGGCCGTTTCCCGTTCTTCCTCCCTGGAACAATAACTCAGCATAAGCAATGTGGTGAGTACATTCTTGTTTTTCAAACCTCAGTGGAATGTTTTTCCCCGAATAACATCATCTGGCTGTATCAAGTTGCCTGTGTGATCATGCCAGTACTTATAGCATCAGCACGTTGCTTCAGTGTTAAGGCGTTGGAACTCCACAAATAAAGAGCAAAAAATGTGCACTGCACTTTAAAAAATAAACAGTCCAGACATAATTAAAAATGAGGAAACTGGTCGCAAAAAAAACCACACACAAAAAACTGGTCGCAAAAAAAACCACACACAAAAAACAGAGTTATGGTTAACTAAGATCGTACAACACAGATGAACTAAGTGGACAGTGTAATATAATTCAACTACATTTATGAGGAGGGAATCAAGTCCATTTATAACATAAGAAAATACTCAAAAGGAATTACTGTACAACACTTTCATCGAGAGGCCGTATCATGCCCTCTCCTGTGTAGTGCTTTTGTCCTCCGCTTATCCTCTCCCCTTCTTTATCTCTGCTATATACTCTACACTCATTTGATAATTCTCCTCTCCCTTATTCCCTGTTCTCCCCTACACTTCAGCCTCTCCCTGCTACGTTACCCCCTATAGTTTTATCTTTCATTGTTCCTCTCTTTTATTCTCTTCTTTTACTCCTTGTTCCCCTTATTTGACTAGTTCCATTAATCCTTTTTATTTTTACCCTTTCCTTCTCCTTTTTTATTCCCTCCTCTTAATCTTTTCCCCTCTCCTTCATCCTATTCTCCTCCCCTCTCCTTAATTTCCCCCTACACTTAATCCTTCCTCCCCCCTCCCCTCCTATGAACTCTTTACCTTGTTCCCTTAATCCTTCTCCCCATTTCTTAATCCTTTCCCTTTGACCCTTCTCCCCCATCATTTAATCCTTCTTCCCACCCCTAATCCTTCCCACCACCCCTTAATTCTTTTCCTTTGACCCTTTTCCCCCACCCCTTAATCCTTCTTCCCACCCCTTAATCCTTCCCACCACCCCTTAATTCTTTTCCTTTGACCCTTTTCCCCCACCCCTTAATCCTTCTTCCCACCCCTTAATCCTTCCCACCACCCCTTAATTCTTTTCCTTTGACCCCTTACCCCAATCTCTTAATCCTTCTTCCCACCCCCTAATCCTTCCCACCACCCCCTAATTCTTTTCCTTTGACCCTTTCCCCACCCCTTAATCCTTCCTACCCTAATCCTTCCACCACCCCTTACTCCTTTTCTTGACCCTTTTCCCCACCCTAATCCTTCTTCCAACCCCATCCTCCTCTACCACCCCTTAATTTCTTTTCCTTGACCCTTTTACTCCCCACCCTTAATCCTTCTCATCCTTCCCACCACCCCTTAATTATTTTCCTTGACCCTTTTCCCCACCCCTTAATCTCTTCTCCTACCCCTAATCTCTTCCCACCGCCACCCCTTAATTCTTTTCCTTGACCCCTTTTCCCCACCCCCTTCTTCTTCCTGCCCCTTAATCCTCTTCCCACCACCCCTTAATTCTTTTTCTTTGACCTTTTTCTCCACCCCTTAATCCTTCTGCTCAATTCTCATCCTTCCCCACCACCCCTTACTCCTTTTTCCTTGATTCCTTTTCCCCACCCTAATCCTTTCTTCCCACTCCCTTTAATCCTTCCCACCACCCTTGTTCTTTTCCTTTGACCTTTTTCCCCACCCCTTAATCCTTTCTCCCACCCCCTTAAACCTACTCCCCACCCCCTTAATCCTTCTCCCCACCCCTAATCCTTCTTCCCACCCCCACCCCACCCCCCCCAGACTCACTCAGTAACAGGGTTCTGCTCCATGGTGAGGTACTCCAGCACTGACTCCTCGTACATCTCCAGCAGGTCGACGCTCACGTGCAGGAGGCAGGTGACGTGGGTGATCAGTACCCGGATCCTGGCGTCGTAGCAACCTAGGAGGGAGACCAGCAGAACCACAGGTATTAGGTGAACTGGTGGAATGTAGAGGACCTAGAATCCTAGATGCTACAGGTGAAGGGGAACTATAGGTCTTAGGTGAACTTGTATAGGGTAGGTGAGATTGGACATGGGAGGACTTAGCTACTTAGAGGAAGGAGAACCATGGGTCTTAGAGGGAAGGGGAACCAAGGTCTTATGGGAAGGGGAACCGCGGGTCTTATGGGAAGGGGGAGCACGGGTCTTATGGGAAGGGGAACCACGGGTCTTATGGGAAGGGGAACCACGAGCTTTAGGGGAAGGATGGGAAGGGGAACCACTGTCTTATGGGAAGGGGAACCACGAGCTTTAGGGGAAGGATGGGAAGGGGAACCACTGTCTTATGGGAAGGGGAACCACGAGCTTTAGGGGAAGGATGGGAAGGGGAACCACGGGTCTTAGGTGAACTGTAATTGGCATAGCGCAGAGGAAAACTTGAGAACCATTAAAGGTGGAAAAAAGGTGAACCATATTAGGTGAACTGGTGAAGGAGACAGGGGGAGGAGAGGGGGAGGAGAGGGGGACGGGAAACGGAGAGGGAGAGGAGGGGGCACTCGTATAATGGGAGAGAGGGGACCGAGCTACCATGAAAGACAGCACCTAAATATAACATACAAACAGGTATTGGCCGAGTGGGGAGAGGAAAAAAACAGACACAACCAACTGCAATATAGAGAGATTAGGGGAACATGTGGAGATTAGGGGAACATGTAGAGAGATTAGGGGAACATGTGGAGATTAGGGAAATATGTAGAATTAGGGGAACATAATTAATGGAACAAGTAATTTTCAGGTGGAAATTTGTCTTAAGTGTTCTAGCAGAGACATGACACCAAGGCGACCAGGGTGATGTTATTGTTGATGATGTTGAACTGACCTTTAACAACCAATTTACTAAAGGTCATTCAGCTCGTGTAGTTTTCTTGGTCATTACATACACTAGTCACCAACAACTAAGGGAGATTATAAGGTGTTTTGTAAGACTGAAGGAACCTTGCTGGGGAGATAGGGGGTATTAGGTGAACCGTAGTTAGGTGCCTTGATTCACAGGTGAGTCAAGGTGAAGCAAAGCAACTGAATTGGGTGAACCGCTGTCATAGGTACCTAGGGGCAGAGGGGGGGGGAATTCGGTGAACAAAGGTGTAGTTACTGGGTGAACTGGTGAACAACTGTCGTGGCTACTCGTACCTACTGGACGGGAAGTGTCAGATGAACAAGATGTACGGGATGAACAACTGTCATGGCTACCTAGGGGACGGGAGGAGGAATCAAGTGAACAACGATGAACAACGATGAACAAGATGAACAATCGTTTAGTCTACTACCTACAATACGGAGAGAATCGGACAAGAGAAGGGACCACGTGAAGATTAGCCTCCCCCCGCTTATTTTTACCTGATGATTAAACACTCCAATGCTACCTGAGAGGGGTTAGGTTAGGTTAAGGTAGGTTAGGTTAGGTTAGCGTTTGGGTGGTTAGGTTAGCATTCGGGTGGTAAATCGCAAGATGAAACAAGCTGGGGTGGCTGATCTTCAGGTGATCCGAACATGGAGTGCTCTAGTGAACAACTCAATACAAGGCCACCTAATGCAGGGAGGAATAGGTGAATAGTCGTACAAGGTGAGTCACGTGTAGGTCAGGTGGTGGTAAGGTGAGTCACGTGTAGGTCAGGTGGTGGTAAGGTGAGTCACGTGTAGGTCAGGTGGTCGTAAGGTGAGTCACGTGTAGGTCAGGTGGTGGTAAGGTGAGTCACGTGTAGGTCAGGTGGCAGGAAGGTGAGTCACATGTTCTGAGTCAATTTCACCAGGTACTCAGGTCTAGTTGGTGCCAGTGAGAAGCGCAGGTGAGGAAAAGATGACAATAAATGAGAACAAAATAAGCCAGTATAAAACACAGGATACTACCATTAAATTAAATACATCTGGGTTGTAAAACTTTATAATCCGTTAACTAAAACATAATAATAATAATAATATAAATAATAATAATAATAATAATAATAATAATAATAATAATAATAATAATAATAATAATAATAATAATAATATCTGTCAAACGGCTTCAATATTAAATCAGTTTATCTTATCTACAAATACACACAAACATGCCTAATACAGTTCACTACTCTACGCTAAATACTTTTTATGTAATTTTATGAACAGATAAATGGGACGGAAGAATGGTCGTATAAACGTAATGGAGACGTACAATATAACAAAAGACGGTAGATGATAGAAAAGTAGAAGTGTAAAGAACTCGGTGGCGTGTGGTCCCTCAACACAAGATCAATTAAACAAGTGTAACAAGTTGTCATCAGTATATAGAACCAGGTGTCGGGTGTCGCCTCCAGGGACTTCAACACCCCACAAGAAATTAGTTTGGAAACTTGGCCATAATAGCCTGAGGGATCCTGGGTATAAGTTTACCAGCGGGGAAAAAAGAATGGACAGGGTCGAGAAGAAGAACGCTAGCTACTGTCACTCTCTCGTTTACTTGTAGGGAATAACACTGACAAACTGTGATTTTTTATTTTAACGAAGTGTAAGTAACAAGATGGCGGAAAGATCTTAATTAAATAAAACTGTTGTACACTCGTAGTTTTGCAGCGTATTCTGATTTTAATTAAAATTCTGCTGAAAAAAAAAGTAAACTTTGTTGATATTTTTAGTACAATCTACAAAAAATCTAAAGAGTAACAAAAAGTAGAAAAAAATCATCTTTTATGTAATTTCACACAAGCTATGAAGACCATTCAATAACAATGGAGAAAAAATCAACAATAAGATTAATCATAAACACATCGTACCTCTATCAACATGAGTGCTTCAGGAGGCCAGTGTGACATGTGGAGAAACATGCATGAGGATAATTAAAGATATTATAGAAAACGGGAACATTAAAGAAAACAGGAAAATCACAATGTGGAAGTATTAGAGAAAATGGAAATATTGGATATAAGAAAGTGGGAATATTAAAGAAAGTAGGAATAAAAAAGAACGTGGAATTAAACAATGGCAAAACAGGAGTAAAACAGTCATGCATTCCACCTAGCATAAAGTGAACATAACAAACTATATTTAATTTGTTCTAAGAGCATAAACAAAGATATGTAAATACTGTACTTGTCATGTACGTTAACAAAGATGTGTACAGCGTTAACAAAGATGTATACACGTGGAAACAGACCAACACCCCCCCTCCACCACCTCAAGATTACCAAATGTTCCAGGTAAACCACGAACACAAATAGGAATTCAGGGAACTTCATTTCTATGTTAATTTTGGCCTTGGGTGTACAACGACGCCAGAAAACACCCAAGATCTCGGCCACAGCTTTAATTAAACTCTTAACTAAGGCAATGTTTGAAGTTTTAAAGATTTATATGCAAATTGGGCGGAAAAAAGGGAAGGGTGGCGACACAATTGCTGGAGAGAAAGGAGGAGGGAGGATGATAGTAAAAAATATGTGGAAGGGAAAGAGGCGCGCACACACGCGCGCGCACACACACGCGCGCGCACACACACACACACACACTGAAACCATAAGCACAACACCAATTTCTAATGACTACGATCTTTTTATCATACGACCTTAAATGCAGAGCATTCCGATTGGCTGATTGGATTAAATGTTTAACCAATCACATTTGTTTGTGGCGTAAGTTAACTCAACCACTAAAACTCAACAAAACCCGTGAGAAATGTCAAACCGGCGATGGAATTTCTATCACCATCGCTGTACAGTATTAATCAGCCATTAAAAAAAATTGATATCAATTTACCACACAACGACCAATTCGGATATATTTTCAAAGAAGTAACAGTATGGAGCGATCGACCAAATATGATGATGTGGGGAATTAGGAGGAGGGAGAGTGGGGGATGAAATTGGGGGAGAGGAGGGGGAGAAATAGTAGGTGGAGGGTGGATTCAGGTGTGATATGAGAGGGGAGGTGTGGGGGAGAAAAGAATCTTGCAGAGGACACTTGATGCTGTCTGACCAAGGTGACAGGTTGACAATGGGGTGAGGGGACATGAAGGGTGAGGGATGAGGGGGGGCTGTGAGAACGTGTAAAGGAAGTGAGGGAAGGTGAGGAGGTGAGGAGGAGCCCTGAGGTGGGAGGAGTTTGAGAGCCACCACAGAGCAACAAGTGAGAAAGAGACCTGTGAGGTAGGATTCAGATTTTCTTTCTTCAGATTCACCCCAAGTTAAGTGAGGGAGGGAGAGGGGAAGGGAGGGAGGGGAGAGTACCGTGACCTTTGACCTCTGGCTTGACATCGTGGAAAAAAACCTCACGGAATAATTGGACTGAGCCAAGGTGGTGTCTCACCCTACCCCCGCGATGTGTGTGTGTGTGTGTGTGTGTGTGTGTCCCCAACAACCCCACCAGTAGCACACAGATCCTTTCAGGTAAACACTAGGCCATTCCAGATTCCTGTTCCTGTTTGTTGTTTTGTGTATAATCCAGTTACCTTCTGGACTTTTCCTCTCAATTTCTGTCTTTCTGTTCTTAAAACACATATACAACCCTAGCCATATGTGTCTCAATACCACATATACATTACATATATGTCTCCATCCTAAAACACATATACGACATCATTACATATATGTCTCCATCCTAAAACACATATACGACATCATTACATATATGTCTCCATCCTAAAATACATATACGACATCATTACATATATGTCTCCATCCTAAAACACATATACGACATCATTACATATATGTCTCCATCCTAAAACACATATACGACATCATTACATATATGTCTCCATCCTAAAATACATATACGACATCATTACATATATGTCTCCATCCTAAAACACATATACGACATCATTACATATATGTCTCCATCCTAAAACACATATACGACATCATTACATATATGTCTCCATCCTAAAATACATATACGACATCATTACATATATGTCTCCATCCTAAAA